TTGTTTAGCTCTTAATGTAATTCTTGCTACCCTACTGCATAGAAGTAACTTTCTAAACTATCCTGAAAGGGGGGTCATCTACCGTTGCACTGAGTGGGTTACGGGGGCATACAGACATTCATAAAACTTCTAGTGGGTTTACTTATTAACTGGTAGTAGCTGATTCGGCCAGATTAAATTGAGGGGAAAAAAGTCCACCAAGTTATGGAAATGTTTGTTTCGTAACAGGTTAATTAAAGCCCAAAAGTTGGATCTTGTGTTTTCTGCGTAACTTTCTATAAGCTCATGAGTTTGTTAATATAAGTAGGAAGCAAAAAGGAACCTAGCCCAAAAGCATTGGTTTCCATGAGGTTGCTGTGTGTGCTGCTCTGTATTCAGCCTGAAAGAAACCTCTGTGCCAGCTCCAGCATGAACACAGCATTTTTGTGTCAGTATATTTCCTGGAGACCCAGATGATGACTGTTTAATGAACAATTGATAACTTCTTAGTGGTGTTCAGCAAAGCATTTGGGATCGTCTGTTAGCCTGTTGCTCTTTTGGACAGCCCCTAACTGCATGTGTTTAAGGGTATGCCAACTCAGAGTTGAGGTCAACAGTGCCTGTTTGGCTGTGTAAATGGAAGGCTAGGTGTATTATACAGCCTAAAGCTGCAAGACTTGTTAAATGGACATGAAACAGTCTACAGTTGATGCTAGTATCAGACTGATGTTTTCAGATAGTTAAGGTTTTTCTGTGTTCTTCAGCTAGTTATGACAATCCACCTTCAGAAGCCCCTGATACGGGCTGAAATTGTGGAAACTTTGGTGTATACCTAGATGGTGAGCTCTGTGCATCCTGTCCGGTGCCTGTTGCAGGTCGTACTGTTCGTTTCATAATCCAATGATGTCTATGTTAGGAGTAGTCAGGTAGTTCATCCTTATTTGTAAGTGCTGTAAGGATGATCCGTAACTAAAAACCTTCTAAACTATGTTCATGTCTGGTGATGAGTGTTGTCTTTGTGGTGACTTTGTTAGATTAAGTTGTTCTTTTGCTAGGTGAAGAAAAAAGTTTCTTAGTGTTGATTTAGAGAATCATAGGCTTTTTCTGCTTCCTCCCTTCTCTTTGTTTTGTTCGTCTAAAAGATCAAAGCTTAGCTACCCTTATTTAGGTAAGAAGCCCTGTGCTTAAGCAGAATGGTACTTCTCTGAATCCAATAGCTTTCTTTTGTCACACAGAGAATAATGTCTTGTTTCTATCTGTGGCACCTAATGTTATGATTTTTGACTGCATATGAAAGCAGACCTAATTAACATGTCTACAATGTGGTGACTTTTCTTTAGAGGAAGAATATTTTAATGTAATCAGTAAAATATCAAAACTTGACTATTATAATTCGTAGGTTTTGGTGTAACCCCCTTTCAATTGAAAAGAAAAAATCAACCAACCAAACCAACCAAACTACACATAATGTGTGCTGTTGCATGTGCTAGTGATAACTGGAAAAATCATGGGGTTTTTGGTCGACTGAGATGTTGGGGTCTGGCTGTAATGTTGTAATACATTGTCTGTCTTTAGTTGGAAAAACCACCTCAGCTATTAGGAATTAGGAACGATAATATTGAAGGGTCTAGAATGAAAATTGAATTCTTGTAAATAATTATTGAAGGTGAAAGCTACAAGCCTTTCCAAGGCGTATCCATGACACTTTATTCCATTGGTCTCCTTTTTACTCATAATGGTGGCTTTGGCAGGGTTTTTATTTTGTGTGTGTGGTTTTATGTGGGTGTCCTGTTTTGCTGTGATAGACTCTTAGGCCAGCCATGCTGTCCAGGCTGTTAGAAGTTTCAAGCTGGCCAGGTCCTTAGGCTGGGAGGGGCAAAATCTAGAGCAGCCTTCCCAAATTGGCTAACAAGTGTATCCCATACCATAAGTGTCATGCTGCCTAGAAAGAGGGGAAGATGTCTGAGGACAAGGGGTTCAGGATGCTTTTCTTCCTGCTCCTCCTGGCTTCTGCCTGCTCCTGAGGACTGCTTTCCCATTGATTGTGACCAACACATGTTCATTGGGCTGAGTATAACTTTGTATGCCTTTCTTGGTATTAGTGCTGTTTCATTAAATCTGTTTTAACATGAGTCTGCTCTCCTTTTCCTGTTTCCCCTTCCCAGCTGATGAGGGGCTATTGGGTGATAGAGCAACTACTATAGGTTAGCCCCAGGTACAGGCTAAATGTAGACAGTGGGTGGATTTGGTTTCTGTGTTGGTGTTTTTTGTGGAATATTAAGTGTCTCACATAATTGCACTTTTTCCATCTTTTTTTTCAGAATCATCGGAGCCAGCTGGATATTTTTGATGAAAATGTTGCCCACATAAGTACTTGGTTGTATCAAGCTGAAGCCTTGCTGGATGAGATTGAGAAAAAATCAGCAAGCAAAAAGGAGGAAACTGTGAAGGTAGGAAATGTTTCTGTCAAGTAATCATTTCTGGATTCTAAATGAAGTCAGGTTTGCTCCCTGTTTGTTTGGGTTTTTTTTTTCCCCCAAAAAGTATTTTTTTTCCTTTCCTAGGGTAACCATTTGCATTTTGTTTCACTTCTTAGCGCTTAACATCTGAATTGGATGATGTTAGTCTTCGAGTGGATAATGTGCGTGATCAGGCAATCATCCTAATGAATGGTCGGGGGATGTCATGCCGTGAACTTGTTGAACCCAAACTGGCAGAACTGAACCGTAACTTTGAGAAGGTCTCTCAGCACATCAAAAGTGCCAAGGTGAGGATGAGTGAGCCCCAAAACATGTTTGAGGGGTCTATGCCAAAATGATGGCAAATAGCTTTAGGGGATAGCTCTTTCTGTGTTAAAACAGCACTTTGCTGCTTTTGATCCTCTTTTAAGGGTAGATATTTACAGGTGAAAAACGGACAGGCTGATTTTAGACCAACTGCTTCTTTTACCTGAGTAGCAGGTGATGACTTGAGCTGCAAGGGGAAATTTACAAATGTGATGTAAAGAATCGGAAAAATGTATATATTGCATTACTTATTTATGAAATAGAGAACACCACCATAAGCCAATGTGACTGGAGGTTTTGTGTTTTGGTTGACACCAAAATGCTCAGATTGAAGTTTGAAGGTAGAAGCTTTGTAGTATCTATCAACACTGTCCAAGCTAACTCAGTGCTAGATCAAACAACTCTTGCAATTTTTTTTTATGGTGATATCTGGTGGTCCTACAAGCTGGTATGCCTGTTCATGGAGATTTGGTTTAAATCATTGAAGTGTGGTAACAACTCAGACTAAATTTTCAGCTTGAACAAAGTTTGATTTTTGCTTTGCAGATGCTTGTTGGACAAGAACGACTTCCTGTCATGTCAGAGGCCTGTGAAGTCAGAGTAGCTTTTCCAGACCTGGAAAAATTTGAGTGTGACATACAGAATATGTTAAAAGTTGTGGAAAAGCATCTGGAGTTGAGTGGAGAAGATGAAAAGGTTTGTGAGCAACGAAGAATTAAATAACTGTCTAACTCCCTTTCTGTTATGTCCACGTTGCATTCCTCCAGACTTTGAGGGGGAGTTCTTCTGAGAAGATCTTTTTAAGACAGGAGTAGAAAATGCAGGGAATTACTAGGTCGTTGGAAACACTGCACAATTTTCCTGTAGTTTTCCCATAGCTGTTTTCTCGTGATTGGTGTATTGAGAGTCACTAGTCATAAATCACTCTAATTTCATCATGGTTTTATATAATTCAGTGAACTTTGATTTTTTTATTTACGTTCTCTCTTCTGCTCAAAGTAGCTGTTTACTTTTACAGGAAGGATTCCTTATAATAGGGTGAAAAACTTTTTTTTTTCTTCATACCTAACTGTCTGAAGCTATGTCGAAATAATTACTTAATACAGCTGAGTCTTACTATGTATTTGGAAGTTTGGGGCCTCTGTTTGCTAGATAGTTTTTTCACTTTAAATTTAAACTGGTATGATATATTAAATCACAATGCATAGGTCAGGTCAGTGGACGCTTGTGAGATGAGGTGCAAATAAGTGTTGTAATATGGCTTATAACAAGTCCAAATAAGAACTTGGAACAAAATTTATCTTTTTCTAGATTCTTATCTAGGCTTTTCTATTCACCTGTATAAAATAGTCATACTTTTGTTTGCATCTTGTTCGCAATAGCTTCGTTGGCTACAAAATTGGATAAAGTCCTGCCAGGCCACCCTGCCTTCCTTATAAGCACATGAAAAATTATAAACTGAGCTGGAAGCTGAATATAAGTCTATGAAAATTGGCACTTATACTACAGAAAACAATTTTTAAAAGACGTCTATGGAACGACTTATTATTATAGAACATATGCTTCCCTTTGTTTCTATATTTATTTCGTTTTCTTGCTATTCTGGTCTGAGCTTGCTTATTAGTCAAGGAATGTTTAAAATAGAAATGGAGCTGAAGTCGTAGTGCCCTTTTGTCGTGGCTGCTTACTGCTGGCTCATTGAGTGAGCTTCCTGCAGGTCACCTCTCTATGAAGTTTATGGAATGACCAAGTTGGATTTTAGGATTTCGTAGTTCTGGGGGCCAATCTCTGCTAAAATTTTTTTGGCTCACATTTGGGTCATGAAACAACAGTTTGGTACTATTACTGTTAATATTTGAGCAGGTAATAAATTCATTTTGGAAAACATAGCTGAGCTTTCTGTAGTTAATACAGGCTTTTGTAATTTTAGCTGGATCAGGAAAGAGCTCAGATTGAAGAAGTTTTACAGAGAGGAGAGCAGTTGTTACAGCAGCCTATGGAGGACCATAAGAGAGAGAAGATCCGCGTACAGCTGTTGCTTCTGCAGAAAAAGTATAACAGTGTGCAGGTATGATTATGATAGTTACTATAGTTGAAGCTCACTTATGCAGTCTTCCCTTTGGTATCCCACTTGCAACCTGGTTATGACTTTTTTTAGTATATAAGATTCTCCGAGGAAGAGTTAAATGTGTGTACACACAGTCTGTCTCTCTGAATCTTTGCAGTTCCAGAATACGAATTTTGTCATTTCAAAGTTCTTTGGGGAGTGGTTTTGATATTTAAAGTCCTTTTCACAGCTTCAGAGGGCCACCCTATATTTATTTACACAGACGGGTGCAGACAGTTGGGCATTTGGCTTCACTTGTCTTTGGCCCTCTAGCAGAGATTTGTCTCCACCACCAGGCTGTGTGAAGAGTGACTACACAGACAGATGTACATAAACATATTTATTGAGCTCTTAGCTGAAGAGGTTTGTGTGAATATGAATCTACTCTTGAATTCCTTTCGCTTCCTATAGAGGGTATTATCAACAATTGAAGACTCTGGTATGTTGTGGCGCTTTCCTACACATGCCATGTTGAAAATGTCTTTGTGTAGAACAACGGGGATCTGTGTTCTTATACTCCTTTTAACTCACCTGTTTGAATCATATTGGAGTTGGTAATGTGAGTTGTGGCTCAAAGGCAGGGTAAGACTCTCAGGCTGGCTTTGATCACATGTCTGTGTGGATAAATAGAACATAGCTATTTTTAAAAAACAGATGACTACTATTGCGTATTTTGGAATTTGCTTCTTCAAATTAATCCCCCAAATATTTTTATTTTTCAAATAAATAAGACCTTTCTTTTCACTACTTCCCTCCTCTTACGCCATATTTTCCTACTACACTGGATTGTAGGAATGCAGGTCATTTCAAAGGAGGCAGGTGGTGGAACTCTCTCCAGTGTTTTCCCAGTATAAGAAGGAACATGATAGTCTAATGAAGTGGCTGGATGAGGCTGAGCATCGTCTGTCAGGGCTGCAAGGTGTGGAAGATGAACAAAAACTACAGGTAAATGACTTTTCTTTTTTTTTTTTTTTTTTCTTAGAGCAGTTAGAGTGAAGACTATGTATGAGCTTTAGAGATTCATATATTAGGGTTTTATGGCTGTTCTTTTGGCACCTTCTTGGAAGGAAGTGTTTTCAAAATGACAGCATTCACTTTTCATTAGGAAATTATCTGCATATACTAGCTTGGGATTTCTGTGTAGTCATCATAGGTCCAAAATATCCCAGCCATCAGGCCCAAGTCTTAGAGCGTGATCTGCACTGTATGGTTGAATCAGGTTAGCTTCTCTTGCCAGTTTTGCTCATGGGGATTATGCTTAGCTCTTTCTGATACCCTGGCTCAAACTGTCTGGTTGGTGCAGGTATGATAAAAGCTTCGTTTGAGGCTTAAACTCAGTGCCTCTGCATCCTGTGGTGGGGATATTGTAACTACTCTGATGCTGCCTTGAGCTGCCTTAAGTGCTTGGGGAGTGATAACTACCCTCATGTGATTGATACATACTCTACACAATGAAGATTGATAAAAATGCCAAAGGTTGAAGTATTTCCGATGAGAAGAGTTATGTGTGGTAATGTGCATGTGTAGGTCTTGACAAACTATTTCACAACTGATTTAATAGGCTGTCAGGGTTTGATAAAATTTACTGCCCAGAAAGCTGTGTGTCTTAATTGTTGAGGGTACAGATACTTTCAGTGGGGTTTTTTCTGTTTTGTTTTGTTGTGGTTTGGTGGCTTTGTGGGGGTGTTTTTGTTGTGGGGCTTTTTTCTATTTTATTTCTCCTTTTCATCTCAAAATACCTTGGCCGCATGGTACATTAATATTTTAGGCAATAACAGTGAGGAACTTTGTGAAGCAGTAATTTGTTGGACAAGCTTGGGGGCTAGACAATCTGTCAAGTACTATGCAGTTTCTGTGTATGAAGCTTCATAATTAAAACCAATCAATCTCTTTTTGACTGCTTGGTAACTTTTTAACCCAGCATCAATTAACTAGGAGGCAGTGATAAAATGCTCTGGTTCCCTGTGAGACTCACCACAAAAATCATATTGTGGTGCTCTTCATTCACAGCTGTAGTGCTACGTGGCTTCAGCTGCCTACGATAGCTGTAGACCTACAGCAGATGGTCTTCTCTCCTTTGGCACACAGGCTATTCGGTATTAGCTTATGAAAGTAAACCTTTTAAATCTGCTTCACTTTCTAAAGACTTTTTCAAATTACAAGCCTCCCATGCAGAGCAGGGCAGCAAAGATGGCCCCAGTGTCTGTTTAACTATCTAACATCTGACTGGTCTGAGTCCCCAGTGGTCACTTCTGGTGTCTTGTGGTACTTGGGCGTGTGCTCCTTGGGACCTGACTCATGCCAGGGAATTTGTTTGAAGGAAATGAGGATCCATACACATCTAAAGTAAAACAACATGGTTCAGTTCTTCTGTTTGACCATCAGCTGTGTTGAATGAATCAGTTGCTGGGTTGAAAAGGGAAAAAGGTGCACCTGGATGGTTCTTTGCCCATGGGAGCAGTCCAGTTGTGCTACAGATTGGTCTTCCTTGTCACTGTTGGTCGTGCTGCAGGTTGATCTTCTCTAAGGAAGATCCTTTGCCTCCTATAAAGCCCTTTTCTTTTAGGATATGCTGCAGCTAATCCCTGGTACTGCTGGATCAATTACGGCATCTTGGTATCTGGATGGTGAACGCAGAATATGATGTAAATATGGATTACCATAGCAATTACAATAGACTATTGATGGAGAAACATTATCTTTGGTCAGAATTAAGTTGTGTAAAAATATCCTTCCAGATGTAGTTTCTAGCCTGGCTGAGTCAGCTAGGCTTTCAGAAAAGGGTCTACAGCAGTTTTCATTACTGCTGTGAAACTTGGAAAATGCTGCTTTTGCTTCATGTGCCTGTGCCTCTAACTCTCTGATATTTGAGTAGTAAGCCAGCCTGTCTCAAGAGACCCTATTTTAGTTTTATGGCTTGTTCTTTCACCTGCTTTACTAATTGATCTTGAGAAATAATGTTCCCAAATATCACCATCATTTTAGGTGAACACAGTTGCTCCAGAATTTTCTTGGAGCCACCAGACTTGATTTACCCCCAGCAGCAGGAGGGACCCTGATGTTAAAATTCTGCAGCAGAAACTGCCCCTCCCCAACTTTTGCCATCTATTTTGTGCTTGAACACCCTCCCTCCCCCTTCAGTCAATAGGGATATCTGGTGAAGGTGGTGAAAGGGAAACCCTAGATATATCCACAGGGCTGCTAGACTACCAAATAGCAAATTGCAGTGCTATTTACTTAGCTCAGGACTGAGAAGTGCTAAATGAATTTTTAACCCACTGGTGCACAGCTGGCTCAACCCCTCATCTTGATGTAAGGAAGTTGCAGGGAGCAGAGGAAAAGAAACGAGTGTTTGCAATGAACAAACAGGGGGGGAAGAAAGATTTTTTTTTTTTGGCCGTTGAGTTGGGGAGTAGACTCCAATTAAGGTTTTATGTAATACATTATTTATGTTTTTGTAAATTAGTGTGGAGGAGAGGACTTATTTATGGTGCTTGAAGGTCATATATATCTATATATTGATTTGCTGGAAGCAGCTGAATCAAAATATTCCTCATCATGTATGCTTCTAGGGATTATGGAGTTAAGTCTCTCTAAAATATTGGTAACCCTGCTGCATAGCAGGTACTTCTGAGTAACCCTTGGTTTGCCACAAATTTGTTGCCTATAAAACCCTGCATCGGAAATTTCTATCTCCTTGAATTCCTTCTTTTCTAACCTTGCTTTAGCAATTATTTGAATGGCTCTATTCTGACTTGGCTCAGAATGCAGGGAAAAGAAAAATTAAACCTTAAATTGCAGAGGTAATTAGTTGTCTAAAGTTCTTGAGAGATTTTTCCAGGTTTTAGAAAACTGTTTTGAAGTGAAAATGATGATTTTGCAGATGGTAAGTGAATTTGCTGTTGCAGGCACAGTGCAGTTTTTCCTATAAACTGAAAAACAGACACCATCTTGAAGGCTCTTGAAGGTAGTATTCCTGTAATAGAGAAAACATTTTGTATGCCTATTGTGCTTTTTATAGGGAAGGTTCCGGGATACTTAAATACAAACCATTAGCTACATTGCCCAAAATATGCTGCTTACTGATGGCATTAAGTAGCCCAGAAAAACAGATAGAATGGACATGAGATTTTAGCTTTTGAAAGCCTTTTCCTAGAAAACTGGCTATGGAGTATTTTGAGTGTGAGAGAGATGGAGTAAGGAATGGTTAAAAAATGAGCATTTCTAATCAAAAGGGTATTTATTTGCGAAGGTGAGTAATGTGTGGTGATATGAGATTAGACTGGGTAACACTTTAGGTTAAAATGTTTATGTATTTAAACATGCAAGGTAGATTATTTAATTTTATGTAAATTTATTGTGCAATACTTCTCAAAGTCCACTTGGAAGCATGCCAGAATATCTTATTGAGTTGAATCTTTGTTAGATTTTATTTCAAAATATATTTAAGTGTAAGAGGAGAAGGGGGAAGAAAATCTGAAACCGAATTCTGAATTGCAGGTCAAACTCTAGATGCTCTGTATAGGAGGAAACAAATTTTGATTTGACCGCCGAATTAAAATTATTTCTAGCAGCTCTCATTGGAAGGCCTTATTTAGAGAATGTACACTAGTAACTGAATATTCCCATTTTCCCTCCAATCCTACACTTTTCCTAGTATTTAAAGAGAGATCAAACTTAATAAACATACTCTGTCACCACTCAAATTAAAGTAGAAAAGGGCTATTGAGTCATCCAGTCAGATTTCCTCCTAAAGAACCTTTGATTAACCTTTTATTTGTGGGTGCTTAAGAAAACAGCTTGCCTGGTTTTACTTTAATTTAAAAAAAAACCCCACAAACCAGTGCCTAAAACCTAGCTTCTGTGACATTTATAGGCATTTGATTTGTATGAGACAGTTACGTCAACCTTCTGCTTGTCCATTTTTTTAGTACATTATGGTGCATTTTAGAAGCTGCCAGTCTGCAATGCAAGGTAGAGAACAGCTGAACAATTAGAACTTGGCTGTAGTAAAGCACTAATGTGTTCATAACACTTACATATGTTCACCTTCAAGAAGGAGGGTTGTGAAAGGAGGAAACATCATCTCAGTGATGGGAGGCAGCTGGAGGAGATTAGCAGTGAGGTGTGCTCTGCAGGAACAGCACCAGGAGGAATTTACTGCTTTGCAGAGAAGCTGTGACCTGGCCCAGGATGGTGCTACTGGGGAAGCATGGAGTTTTGGTATATGTCAGTGTTGGCAACAAGTGGAGAACAAGTTTGCTGCATGCCTGCCAACGGATGCTGTTTTAAATCTTGCTCAGGTTATTTTCTAATGAGAGATAAAGCAGTATGTGTGAAGTTGAAAGATAATAAAGTCCAGTGACCTATTAATTTGGGTGAGGTCTAGATTCTGGATTGTTGCCTGTGTGAGAATGGGAGCTGTGGGATGATAGAGAGTTAGAGAAAATACCTTGTGAAGATGTTGCAGGTGGCTACGCATCCCGGTGTTTGTTCAAACCCAGGCTTATTCCACATTGCTGGGGAAAAGATACTGAGTTGCACACACTTTGCCTGATTTCTTTGGAGCTGATGCCTCCCCTTCTACAGGAAATAGTACAACTGTCTAAGCCATGGGCTTTTGCTCCAAATTTTGGTGATGGAAGCTGAAAAAATATATTCAGTGCCTCAGGAAAATGTGTTTGGGGAGCATCAGGGACCAAGATGCTGGATCTGTGGGTAAAGCATATGGAGTAGTTCATGATTTTTACTGTGGTGCTTGCTTGCTGTACTGTTATTGAATCAAAAGCAATGCTGTGAGTATTTTGTGATGCTTGTCTGTAGTAGTTTTTTTCACTAGACTCAACTTATTCTTATGTGCCTGTATATCCTATTTATTTGGTGTGCAGTGAATTGACTGAGAGCATACCCATGTTTGGTGGTAGAGGTCTTGTGGAAGTGCAACTATGTCCCAGGTTTCAATACAGGGATGACTGTCTACTTTAAAAAACAAAACAAACGCAAACCAACACAAAACAAAAAAAACCCCAAACCAATACAAAACAAACAAACTCCTTGGGACCGTTCAGTGCATGAGAAGAAATCCTGAATGGTGACTCTGTGAACATACCTTTTCTGCTGCAGTCCTTTTTTTCTTTTTCACTACACATGCTGCATATGTTAGACTCTAGTTAATTTGAGTGACATATTTGAAATGCTCAGAAACATGTGGAGGAGGAAGATACAGACAGACGTCTGCAAATGACTTTGTTAGCAGGGCTTAATGTTTTACTGCTTGTCAGCTGTGCTAGTGATTTGCATGTATGCAACCAGCCCAGACTAATTGCAAAGTAAAAGTCACTGGCTGAAATAGCTGTGAACATACATTTGTTCTTCATGCTCTTAAGTGTATTCTCAGCTGTTAGTAAATCATACAGTCTAGTGCCTCTGTCTCCGTCTTGCTTGACTCGAATGCACTGAGTACAGGATGGTGGCTTAGAAGTCCCTTGAATTCTTCAGTATTTAGAGGTGAGTTTACTTTTTCATTGATGGTTTTAAACAACTGGGCTGTTTTCAGAGATGGCAACAGAATCCTGTTGGACAAGAAATCTTGTCAGCAAAAAACTGCTTTGAGTCTTCACAGTATCTGCTTCACCTACCTCTGCTACCTTTGCCAGGCATGGCAGAGTATAGCTTCTTGCAGCTAGCTTCCTAATGCTTCATATCCAGGCCATCATTTATGATCCAACAAAAAGCTGCATTAAATTAGTTTTCTTGCTTTCTTGTGCCTGGTCTTACAGCCAGAGCAGATAACAATCGCCATGCTCTTGAGGAGTTAGTGTCTCTTATTGCTGCAAAAAGCATATTGTGGTACTGGTAGAGTGCTAATTTATTTAAAAAGTGGTTGGGAAATGTGGGGGGAGATGCTTATTGAAAAACATGTGGAGAGGAAAAAAGGTCTGCTTCAGTAAACTGGTAACTTCTGGGAGTCCTTGATGATAAAGGAAGCAGACAGTGAGTTGTAATCGGAGCTAGATACAGGCTTGATCAAGAAGTGTAATTTCTGGAAACGGTAAGGATCAAGGTGAGAGAAACAGCGGTGCCCTTCCCGCTCCCCACAGTTTTAATAAAGGATAATGCAGGGTCATTGTGAGGCGCGATATCTACTGTTTTCTAACTCTTTTTTTAATAAACATAGAAACGGTTCTCTGCAGGACTTGTAGCTTTCTGAATTTATATAACTTTGCTGGAAAGCCTTTGTTTTGTCTTTTAATGTAGAAAAGTACTTATTCTAAATATAGTCTACTGATTTAGGAATTTTTTTCATAAAATTGCATGTTCTTTGAAATACAAAATGAACCTTCATGTTTTTAGGCAATCCCTGTCCAGCAGAGGTTAAAAGGCCACTTTGTCGCAGGGGCTAGGACCTTGCCTTTTTCAGCGGAATACTTGGTTGAAATCAATAAAGTCTTGCTGGCCATGGCTGATGTTGAACTGCTGCTGAATGCACCAGAGCTAAATACTGGCATCTATGAGGATTTTTCAACTCAGGAAGATGCACTGAAGGTACTGCATGTCTAAGCATTATATTCAGAGGGAAGAAGAGAAGGGAATAGCAGAAGTAAAAAAGACCACAGAATCACACCTTAGTGACTGTATAGCTGTATTTGTATTTTTGCTCGGTGTATACTGGTTCAATATGCACTGAAAATTAGATGCGACAGCTAATTTTTCTTTCTATGCAGAATTGATACAAGGTGGAGCAGTGTGGAAGCTGGGCGGGAGGTTGGCGGGGAAGGGTTTAACTTCTTTTGTTGGAGAAACTGTTGTGTTTTTCATCACATAGTCTACGTAATATATAGAGAAATGCTAACGTC